TATTCCTATAGTAACCAAATCTTTTTTATTTAATTTGATGTTAGTAAAGTTGTCACAATTTAATTTAATTGATAAAATAAAAAAATAATATATTACATAATTTTATGTATATTATTTAAGTGCTATCAATGTGCAAAAGATTTTACTAAATATACAAATCTAAAGTAGAAACGGAAATTTCATTATTTTTTTAATATAGAATAATATTATCTGAAGTATAAAAAATAATAGACACTGGTATTTATATAAGAATAGAGACTGAAGTACTTCTTAAAAGATTATTTTTTTTATTGTTTGAATAAAAGATTGCTTTGAAATTAATTATAACTTATCATAAATTTATTTATTAAATATTTAATTTAGATAACCTTAATTAATTAACCTACGCATGTTTTATCAAACGAAAAAATTATATAAGCTCTGGTATAAAATTTCCTTTTATATTTACTTTAAATGATATAAACTAATAATAAATTGTCTAAATTAAATGTAATTAAATTAAAGGTAGATACTCTGTATTTAATTAATGCTTATCTTGTGGATCCATAAGTCCATTTTAGTTTCAAAAGTAATTATTAATTTTAATTTTTTTAATTAATTTAAATGGTGAAAGATTAAAACAGAAAACGTGATCCAATTTTGTTAATTAAAAAAATTAATTTTACTAATTCTTTTGTAAAACTATTAATTTTAAGAAATGTTAATTGTCAGTGATTTTTTTGGAAATTAAGTGCAGCTTGATTGTGGACTCATGATGTGCTATGCTTGATGAAGGGTCCCAATATACAAAATTTTTTATTTCTCAATGTTTATTATCCAAAACCTGCTTCACTTTAACATTGAGCTCAAAAACATAGATGCACTAATTGCTAAATATTACATTAAAATGCACAAGCTGTTGTACCTTACGTATTTTAATATGAATATCAAAAATTAATGAATACAATCCATTTAATCCTCATCCTTTTTCTTCTTGAAGACTACAGAAAATTGGATCCCAAAACTAAAAACAATATTATTATTTTTCTTATCTTACTTGGTAGACAACAACATCTAGTCCAAGAACCCGTATGGTCTCATGGGAGGAGGGAAAAGGGAGTGGGATAGCTTCTGTTGTGATGAATCATTCGTAGGTAGAAGTCTGACTTGGCTCCGTGACGCTGAAGAAAGAGGGAACTGCCTTTTGTGAGAACTTTTATGGGGAGCTACTCCACATTTGCATATGGTATGAGAGAAAACACGAAAACCTTCCACCAGACAGTCTGATTAACGAGACAAGATCCTGAACATCACACATGCTCTGAAAAACTAATCGTGTTTTTGGAATAATATATACAACAAAGTCGCCAGAGAATGGAACCTCAACCCTAATGTTCACTACCTGAGCGCGTTGCCATTGAGCCACGATTAGGGCAAAACATATTATTAAATTAATATAATAATCTACAGGAAATATTAATTTATTTATATTATTATTTTAAAACATTAATATTGTATTTTATATAAAAAACGAAATTTATATAAATATTTAGAACTAAATCCATTTATTCAGATGTCATACCACATGATGAAAAACCTACTTTTATTGCCTTAAAAACATATGTGGACGTAGTAAATCTAAAACTCCTATCTGAGATAAATGTCCGAATAAATAAATAATATTTATTTTTCCAAAAATATAATAGATTTAAATTATTTACTCTGTTTAAACTCCGCATCCGTGCGCCATACATTTCAACTCTCATTTTTTTAACTTACAATTTCTGAAATATATTCCTTCCTGGTTATCGGATAAAAGAAAATTTCATTTCATTTTATTTTGAAATGGTTTCATTCGTTTTCGTTCCATATCATTCAATGTATCATACATGCTTCTTATATGTGTGAAATTTTATTTAATCATGTTGGAATATTTCGGGATTAGGGATATAACTTAAATCAGTTTATACAGAATTCTTAAAAGTATTTGGCAAAAATTGGCCGAAATAAGCCTGCCATGTAAAAGAGTCCATGTAAAGTGCATGAGCCCGAAGGAAGAAATGAACACCATGTAATAAAACACAGGTTAGGTAAAAAAAAATAAACTTTTGACAGTAAATGCTTGAAAAGATTAACAACAACATCAGTAAATGAATCGGCGCACACTACTAAAAATGTCAGATATGACACCTACAATTCCAGCATCAACTAACAATCTGTTCAATAGATCTTCATCGGACACAATGGAACATTTGCACATTATACTAACTTGATTTGCGCACAGACGAAAAAAACTATGCATGATCAATCTGGTGGTCGTAGAGATCAAGGATCAGATCCAACACATTGGATCAAATGTGAGCTTTGGAATTGAGATACTCTCTGACAGTCCCGCCGATATTATCAAGGAATCCATCCGTGATAATATCAGTTACTCATAGAGAAATATATTGGAATATTTAATATATTTCTTATTAAAACTCCTCTATTATATTAATATATTAATATAAGTGGAGTTTTCCAATTTGGGACAAACATAATCACTCACGTGGCTTTTACTTTGTAGTTTAACATAATCGATGATAGCTTGGCGATTTTGGCAGCAATCTATACTATTGCCTATTATACTGTTGGCGAAAAAATAAAAGGTCTATTATACAACGTTTTCCAAAAAATGGCTGACTTTAGCTCTGAAAAAATTTAAATTTATTTATAATATTAATAGATAATAATATAATTTGATATATGCGCATGACGTCAGTAGTTTTTTTTTGGAGGTTCAGATGTGTTTTTCCTCCAAAGGCAGAGTTCTTTTTGTTCCCAAAACGTTGTACCCGCTTCCAATCCGTGTAAATATTTTTTCCCAATAGTGTATAGCTTTAAATCTGGTAGATTTTACTATGTTGAGCCCCCAGACACTACTGAAACCTGACACATGTGATACACGATTGTGCAATCGAAAGTGATCAAATGTTTAAAGTTTACAGCATACCTAAGTATCGCCCTGCATTCTCAGGGGGTTACGTGTATCACACTTTTGGATATCATTGAGCTATGAAACATAATTTTTTAAATGCATTTCTTCATCATAGTTGGTGGAATTTAGTGGGGTCATAAATTTTTAACAAATTAAAAAAATTGATTCAAATCTTTGTAAGCACCAAATCTCAGTGAATGAACACGAATTACCTCATTCATTTATTTATGCATGCGCATGACGTCATCAGTTTTTTTAATGTTCAGATGTATCTTCCTCCAAATGCTCTTTTTTTTCCAAAACTCTTCATGTGCATACGTTTTTAAAAAGCGATAGACGAAACGCTGAGCTCCCAAACACTACTGAAACCTGACACATGTGATACACGATTGTGCAATCGAAAGTGATCAAGTGCCTAAGTTTGGCATACTCTAGTAACACCCTGCATTCTCAGGATTACAATGTATCACACTTTGGATATCATTGCGCTATGAAACTAATTTTTTAAATGCCATTCTCCATCATGTTTGTTGAGTCATAAATGTTTTAACAAATAAAAATTGATTCCATAAATCTTTGTTAACTCCAAATCTCAGTGAATGAACACGAATTACCTCATTTATTCGATCCTTTTCTACTGTGAAGACCTTGACACGGACGGAAAACGAATGTTTCAAATGCACTTAAATAAATCTGTCTCTAAGCGCAAAAGGAATATTTGCTCGACGCCCATTCCAGAATCACAAACAACAATTTTTAATATCGCTCCAAAACAAACAAAAACTTCTGACATGGAAACTTCTCATGGTTATAAAATAACAAAATCACCATTTCTGACATCAAAAGTTTGAAGAAGAAATGTATATTAAGAAATAAGTTATTGCATGAAAAATTGCAATAAAATAGTTATATTATATTTTTTTCTTACATTTGGATAGTTATAATATGATATAATAATATAATATAATTATTATATGATGAAACGTTGTTAATTTTAGACATTAGTTTCTCTTCAGTTAGAAGGATTTAATCGCGGTTTTCTTCTTGTTATATTTTTAAGTAAATGGGGTTAGGAATGGTAACGTGCTTAGTAAGTAGGAGGTTTCAGGTAGTGGACAACGCTACTGGTGCACATTGAGTCACTGTTTTCAGAAACATGGACTCGATGTTAATTGTGTTAACGTGTAAGCATATTATGCCGACAATCAGATGGCGTCTTACGCATTCACTGTATTTTGAAACGAGGAGATTTGATAGCTTTTGTTACAATGTGCGTAAACGTTTCGTACAAACAATGAGACGACATCCATTACAGTCTAGTTTTCAAAAGCTGAAATTCCACGAAACGTGAAAACGTGTGTTTCAATCTTTCTTTGACAGTCAGATGGTGTCACACTGACAATAATTTACTTCAGAAATAACAGAAGACTCAGTTGCTATTGTAACGTGTGTAAATATTTAATATAAATAATGAGATGACGTCGACTACAGTCTTGTTTTCAGAAATGATTAGACTTCCTGTCGATTGTGATACCTTGTGTTTAATGCATTGTTTACTTATACGCATACTTATACAAAAATCTTACGCTTATTGTTACAGTAGCAATTGAGTTTTCTCTTATTTCAGAAGGCAATGATTGCGAGAGACACCCTTTGACAGTTAATGCAAGACTCTTAAACAACGTCGTCACAATCGACATGGAATCTCCCTTTTTGAAAACAAGACTGTAATGGACGTCCCTTATTATTTATGTTTGTTGTTTATCCCACTTGGTTCTGGCCAAGCCCCACGAGCCCATACGTGCTCATGATTGAAGGGGAAGGAAGCAGCTTCTGTTGTGATGGAGCACCCCGTAGGTAGAAGTCTGACTATGGCTCCGTGGCGCTTTTTACAGTCATAGGAGACCGGGACCTACGGCTTAAAGTGGATTCGAACCACCACAAACCTCCATGGCACCGCCGGGATTCGAACCCGAAACCTGTGGCACCGAGCGCCAGAGCGCTAGACACACTCGGCCAGTCAGGTCCCAAATTTGTGTATGCCAACGGCACGCAGTGTTCCCAGGTGGTCACCCACCCAAGTACTGACCGCGCCCAATGATGCTTGACTTCGGTGATCTAGAACAGGTATATTCAGCATGGTATGGCTGTTGGCTTCCTTATTATTTATACAAAACTCTTACACACGTTACAATTGCAATTGAGTCTTCTGTTATTTCTGAAGGAAACGATTTGCGAGATACACTGTCTGACTGTCAATGCAAGACTCTTAAACACAAGATATCACAATCGACCGATAGTCTAATCGTCTAATAATTCTGACTGATCGTGTAATAATTTCTGAAAAATAAGACTATAATCTATGTCAATCGAAACAATGTCTGTAAGCATTTCGTATAAGCAATGAGGCAACGTCCTTTACAGTCTTGCTTTCAGAAGAGAGGAAATTGGATGTCGATTGTGATAACGTGTCTCAGGGTCTTGCATTGACAGTCAGAAGGTGTTTCTTGCAATCATTGCCTTCAGAAATACTCAATTATTATTGTAACAATGTGTGTAAGCGTTTCGTACAAACAATGAGGCGATGTCCATTACAGTCTTGTTTCGAGAAAAGAGGAAACTGGGTGTTGATTGTGACAAAGTGGGCTTCTTAAAAGTCTTGCATTGACAGTCATAGGGTGTCTTATCAGTTCCAATAGGGTGTCTTATCAATTATCAGAATATAGGGAATTTTCTGAACAATTTTAATTTTGTTGCAATAATTGATATAAATAAGTAGTCATAATATGAAGGCATAGGGGTAAATTGTAAGAAATCTCCTACAGAAATACAGGGTGTGTGAGTTAAAGATTGTTTCTGACAATATTATAGATACATTTTTAACAGAACTTTATATTTTGTGAATCACAATTAGAATGTCAGATATGTAGCATGTCCAGTGTCATCCAGGATACACCATGGGTAGCCTAATACACTTCATCCGCCTTTTACCAAAAATGTTAAACAAATGCCCTCAATGATGAAATCTGAGCATGTTTAAGGCACCTCCTTTCTAACGGATCTTTTCAGGATACGAATTTTTCGTGCCTATCTTTGATATGGAAAGGAATATTAATTATATTCCAATGATACTGTTTTTTGAATTGCCTATAGCATTTTTTTAATTGCCTATAAAACCACAGTTATACAAACAATTTCAACGTTACTCAGGACTACAGGAGAGTTTGTTATATTCATTGCCAGAACATTTCTTCATCAGAAAAGTGAACGAATATTCCGACGGTTGCATAGGATGGTGTCTGGATGTTGCCTTATCTTTCTCGATTCCAACGGATAAATTGTGTCAATCCCAACATCAGAGAAATTCTGTTTGGTAGGGTTTCGCTTGGTTTGGTCTGCACACTTTGGGCACATTAGCACGGGACTTACAGTTTAACTTGATTCAACCATTCACAAACATCCACGCCATGACCAGGATTCGAACATGCCGAGCACTAACTAATTGGCCATTAGGTCACTGTACGGTTTCGAAGCTAGCTTCCTTTAAAATCTAAACCTCTGCCAACTGGACTTCTAGTTCCACCAATGGGAAATATATATAGAGAAACTAACTTTGAAAATAAAATAAATTTAATATTTTGATAGAATAAAACTAAAACATTTGTGCGAGAAGAAATCAAACTAAGAGAAAGAAGTCACGAATTGTCGTCAGAGGTTTTATTAAAATGCATAGCATGTCTAGTTCCTGACAAGATCATTTTATTGGTCAAACTAAAAAGGACCCACCTTTCAATAATTTTGGAGAAAATCAATTTGAAAAATTTAAACGCTTTTTATTCTATTAAACTATGGAATAAAAGTTCAATTCTATTAACTTTTATTTCTAGTTCTATTAAATTTTTCTTTTCTTCTGAGAACTTTTATTTCTATTGTTCATTCAATTCTTTTTCGAGTGCCCCATGATGTAGTAATTAGGATCGTGAAAAATCAATCTGAATGTTAGAAGTTATTTTCCTTTTTAATTTCCTGTGTTCATTTTCAAATAATTCAGAAAAATTAGTTGAAGTAAAAAATATTTGTTACTAGAAATATATTTTTTTACATTTATTTTTTTCATTTTGCTTTACGAAAACTTTGTTATGCATTAATATTTTTTAAGGTACTTATTTATTTATTTTTTTTTCCATATTCAAGGGTTTCTGGAGAAACATTCATACACAGTAGGAGAAGAGAGCAGAAAATTTGTTTTGGAATAGGTACAGAATATTCTAATTGAACATAAAATTTTATTAGAATTATCTAAAAAATGGTTTACTTTCGAGGAATTGAAAATCAGCAGACAAAAATTATAAGAAGGGGTATGGCCAGAAATCCATTGGAAGGAAATCGGGAAAACTTTGCGGCCATAGAAATGAGAAATGGTGGAGATAATTCTATCACAAATGTGTGATGGTATCTGAGAGGTTTTAACCCTCCTCTCCTCTACTTCGAATTTTCTGGCCTGCAAATTTATCGTTCACCTCCAAGTTAAAGAATCTGAGTAAACCCTACATGCTCTCAATTTCATCTTTGATCCCTTAGAAAGTATGTAATTCTTAAAAGTAAAGGAGTGTTCATCAAATTACAAAACAAATTTTTTAAAATTAATTTAAATTTAAACATTTTAAATAACGTCATATGCTTCCTTCAAAGAATTTAATTTAATCTTCATATTTGTGTCCTTGAAAACAGTTTTTTCTGTAAGTAAATTTTAACTTTTTAAATTCTGGAAAACATATTTTTTTCTTATGCTATTTTTGAAATGCTTTTTGTTTATTATTATTTTTTTGATTATAAGTAAGCAAAACATTTAAAAAAATAACTTTAATAAAAATATTCTTTTGCTTGTAATAAAAATACTAATTTTTGTAATTAAAAAGAGTACATTAAAAATCTAACTATTTTAACTTCTTAAAATTAAACATTTTATTCTAAATTAAGTCAAATTATTATTAAATATACATTTAGGCCAAATCGCAGAATACTGGGTCCGTTAGACGGCGATATTTTTGTAACGCCAACTTTGTGATAAGATGCCAAATATGGTAACTGTTTGTAATACTCTTTCTGTACTGTTTGCAATTCACATCACTTGCAATCGCAACCCGTTACTTGGCGCACTTTGGTGAAAAGATATTTTGACGCTAACTCCCAATGGTCCCTATTCTGCCATTTTGCCTATGTTTATTTAATAGAAATATCTCCTTGGTTTTCAAAGGATAATCGAATAAAATTTAATATGTAACACACTATAAATTTCTGCTTTTATTATTAAAAATAGAAAGTATATTCAAATAAAAATCAAATGAATAAAAAAAAGAATTTTCTGAAATATTATTATAACGAATTTTTAAAATATTGAAAGCATCAAAATTTTATTAAAATGTTCTCATAAAATTATTAAATTGAAAGGAGCGTACTTACTTTTACGAAAAGATATATCAGCATTAAAATTCTTACTAACAATAGCATGATTGAATTTAAAACATGTTCCTAAAAAGAAAAAAAGAAAAATATCAGGAATATTCATAAAAGTAAATATATTATGAACATTTTTCAAAAATATCAATATTCGAAATTAATGTAAATGTTTGAATATACTAAATACTTTTAAAAATATTTTCTTAATTGTTTTGGCAGTTAAGAACAAACAAATTATCAACTTTGATTATTATTTAATTAACTTTAATTAATTATCTTTCTTACAAACAATATACAAAATATTGTTTTAATAACCGTTGATCAATAGATTAATTTACTGAAGTAATTGATTTGGTGCATTATATATTATTTGTTTTATGCATATATTATTATTATTATTAATGTATGTCCAGTAAGTTAGCCAAAAGTTTTGATTTTGTATAACATTCGATACCACACGCTGCGGGTTCGAATTCCGGCTGTGACTGTATTTGTAGTGGTTCAGAATCCATTTTAAACGGTAGGTCCCGGTCTAATACTATCGTAGAATGTTGTGGGGATAGTGTTACTCGCGTCCGTAGCCTATCTATACATGCCCAACTGGGTAGTGCTAAATGAGTAACAGTGGTGCAGCCTTTGCCTACGGCATAAAGATTAACTGTCTCTGTATTTTCTGCTGCATTAGAACAACAACAAAAAAAATTATAAATAATTATTTTGACTTTTGATTGAGATAAAACGATAGCTTATTGTAAAAGTTTTGTATATTCTTTTAAAATTTATTTAACTATCTTCTCTTTGAAAAAAAAAAAATCTACTTTCGAATTCAGCTACAAGACTAAATTTTAGCTTAATCTGATGTAGAAAAGAGAATTAAAAATATTTTATTATTATATTCTAACACACTAAAGTAAAAAAAAAAAAAAAAATAATACGAGTTTTGTTCCCATGCCATAAAATTAATTCATGGGTTTTCATAATTAGTAACAAATTCTTTCATGACTCCGAAATATCTCTGCAAAAGTTCTTTAAAATATTTCAGGAGAATTCAAATTAGTTATAAATCCAGACTATAGATGGCATTGTTGTGACCTTGCAATTTCTTTTACAGATTGGTGAAAGTTCCTTTGGTAACCAGGACATTAGTTTTCACAATGAATTCGAAATAGTCTTTTCTTTTAGGAATAACCTAGACGCCGAGATTGGAATTTGAATCTATCCGCAATCTCTTACATTAGAATAGCTCACATAACTATAATCGAAAACAGTGGCTTCAAATTGTCTAACGGAAAGAAAGCGCAGGGTTTTAGAAGAGGAGAGTAGAAGGCAGTTCACGACAATTCCACTTATTTCAGAATAGTTTAGGGCAAATCATTCTAATAAGGAGATATTCTTCAATAAATGCAAATAATTCCGAAGGGATCTGATATAAAAACAATAACGTTTCATGAATACCTCAAAAATTTGAAACGTATTGGTAATTGATAAAATAAAAGAACAAAGATAAAATTTAAACACATATAATAAAATAATCAAAACAATAACTGACTAATCTAAAACAAATTGATATCTGATAAAAATAAATTAACTATGATAAATTGTAAACAAATAACTGATAAAATAAATGAACAATGTTAAATTTTAAACAAATAACTGATAAAATAAAGGAACAATGATAAATTTTAAACAAA